GTAGGAAAAATTCCCCCCCAGCCACTCCTCTCCAAACACTACCCTGTCCTTCCAAAGCCAAAACATGGGATATGCAGCCAAAATCTCCCAGTGGTATCTGAGAAGATGTGACTGTTCTACTGTTTTAAAGGAGTGGAAGCCCTGTTCTTATCAGTTTGGACAAAAAGATAGGAGGTGGAAACATCAATACAGAGTGTTGGTGGCATATCTCAAAAAAGAATCTGTGCTATAATTGTTTCCAGATAAAAGCGCTGCAGGACAAGGTGATGAGCAAGAGGCTGACAGTTCATTTTGGACCATAGGTGCTACAGCAGGTTTCTCAGAGCAAAATTAGGTGGTGTCAGTGTTGCTGAAGATGTTATTCCCTTCTCTGTTACCTTCTCTGAGGAATACAAAATACCGAAGTAAAAACTCCAGGAGGCCACCTTCTCTTCTGAAGCCAGCAGCCCAGCTCAGTGGAGTAATAAGGCATTCAATGACTGTCTTCACATGTGAACACTAAGAGTTCATAATCTTCTAAGTAGTAGATTGGCCAGAGAAACATTTCGGTGTCATCTTCCATTTCCCTGCCATTATCAGTCCTAAAAATAATCATGTGATTTTTTGATCCCATAGACAAAATAATTTGTTAACCTCAATGGGACCAGAATTTTACCTGAAATAGTTTACTGCTTTCCATTTCCTTTGACATGTAGGGAGACTGAACAAGTGCTTGCGTGGCTTGGCATGACTAGCAGGTCTGTCACCTTCATTGTCCAAAAACAAGAAAGGATGTATCATACATAAATTTGAGGTTTTTTTCTTCTTTTTGAATATAATAAATGCAGCAGACTCCCAGAACATGCATCCCTTTAATCTAATGTGTTAAAGTATAACCTTAAAATGAGAAGACATATGCCCCTGCTGAATATATATTTATGGAGGCATATGCAACTTTGTGAAAACTGGCAATTTACCCTTTTGACAGTGAACGTTGGCAGGAGTGTAAAGCTCCATAATGTACTATCCCTGTAATGTAAAAAGAGTTTGAATACAAGATGAACTTATTTCCTATTTCTGGCCAATTAAAAAGCACATACACAATGTCCTATCTT